TACCAAATGGGTGTTACAGAAAAAAATAAAGATGTATCAAATTGAAGGGAAAAAAATTTAGATTATGGATCAGTTTTATTGATGAGAAACATCTCACATCGGAAATATAAGAATTAATCTACTACTATATAAAGGGTTGGAGTCAATCCACTTATCACCAATTGGTTTTAAGTTGGAAGCTCATAATAAACCTGAATCTAATATGGTATCAGAGCGATAAGATCATTTGATCTAATTTACTACAACTACTACTACTATACCGATGTTGGACCCTCTGTGGATGTTATTCCCACATTGTCCACGCTTCAGACCTAGATGTCTGAGCCCGAGGGAGGGTATTGATGAGAAACATCCCACATCGGAAATATAAGAATTAAACTACTACTACATAAAGGGTTAGGGCCAATCCACTAATCACCAATTGGTTTTAAGTTGGAAGCCCATAATAACCCGATTCTAACAAGTTTTTTTTTTTAATTGGAAAATCTAATTATTTTTGTTTGTCATCCAAAATTATTAAAAATTGATGAATTTAGTCGGATGGTGAAAATTCAGATCGTTTTTATTATAAAATCAGAGGTCGCTTTTATCATAAGAAAACAAAGATCGAATGTCTCAAATATTTTTTTATTTATATTTAATAAAATTTGTGGTTTGAGGAAGATATTATTGGAGCAGACAATTCATATACGATAGTCTCACTGATTTGGATCTATGTGATTTATTCTTCGAAATTTTTATTTTTTTTTGGAACAATTATTATTCTTCGAAACATATATACACAATACACATTAGTATGGGATTTGTGAGGCCAAGAACCTGCGACATTTAAAAAAAATCATTTTGGGGTTGACGTCATTTAAAATAATATGTGAAAAGAAAAACACTATACTATTTTTCTACAAACTAAGACACTATATTCTTCCTAGTCTAAATTACGACATCTTTTCCATCTAATTTCTTATATACTCTGACGTCATATTATTGACGTCATTTTATATATAATATTATAGGACAGCTACTTTAATCACACCAAAATGTTTGAAACTTCTTCACAGACCATAACATGTTACTTTTGGGTGTGATTTTATATACCAATTAGAGTAAATATTTACTCTCAGTTTACTCTTATTTCTATTTTTTGCTAATCAAATAAATGAGTTTTCCACCAGTTTACTCTAAAAATGAAGGTTAACTAGATTAAGTCATTAGTTTGACCAAAAAAAAAAACTAGAGTAAGTCATTCCTTCACTTTAAGCAAGTGGGAAATTTTATTTCAGTTTTTTTCCACTACATTTTTTTCCACCATTTTACTTTGCCAATATCCAATCACACCGTGAGGAAAGCAAGTGATGTAATATTTAGTTATTTATATGAGTGAATACTTCGTTATTGATGTTTAATCAGAATTTGACGTGTACTGAAAATGTGCTCAAATTGGATGGTGATTATCTGAAAATAGACACATATCAGTAGAAATTTAGATCATTTTAATTATAAAATCAAATATCGTTTTTTCTTATAAAATTCAAAGATGGAATGTCTCAAATACTTTTGTTTCTTTTATATTTAATAAAATTTGTGGTTTGAGGAAGATAATATTGGAGCAGACAATTCATATACAATAGTCTCGCCGATTTGGTTCTTTTCAAAGACCCATGTGATTTATTCTTCGAAACTCAGGTACACATTAGTATGATAAGATTTGTGAGACCAAGAACCTGCGACATTGTTTAAAATAATTTTGGGTTTACGTCATTTGAACATGAACATAATATACATATATATATATTGGTCTAAATGTTGACAAAGATATAATATATGGAAAGAAAGACGTTATATTATTATTATTATTATTTTGTAAACTGATACACTATATTACTCTTGGTCCATTACGACATATTTTCCATCTTTTTCCTTATCTACTCTTGACGTCATTTTTATAAATAGTATTATAGCATATCTACTTTAATAAGCACACCGCAATACTTGAAACTTCTTCCCAGACCATAATATCTTAATTTGGTAGCGGAAAGCAAGTGATTTGATATTTACTTATTTATATGAGTGAAAACATCATTATTGATGTAAACTATTTGAAATAGTTTTGTTGAGAGATCAAAAATTTAATTACAAGAGAATTTCCTTGTCTAATGCCCCTCTCCGGTTTGATATGCCCATGGAAGCGATGATTCAACAATACTCTACATAAGACTTACGTGATATAGAACCGTGAGTGACAATGAGTTTTAATGCTGTAGGCTAAATAAAATAATATTGATAGTTTACAACAAATAACATAAATGTTTGTGAAACAATTTTTTGTAAAGAAGTTTACCAACTTTTATGTTTAATATATTTTAGAATATTATTATCACAAAGTTTACTTTTGGTTTTTGGATAAATAAAAAAATAGACAAAAATAATAATTGTGGAATTTCATTTTGGTAGGATAGTTTAAAACCATGTTTTGGGAGGAAAATGCAACATAGCATGTACGGTCTTGGTAAAGAGTTAATAATTTATGTTTTTGGCGTTGAATTCCAGAATCATGATTAACGAGAAATTAGAAAACTGATATTTTGACAGAGAATTGCTAAATAGTATTTCATTTATTATATAAATTTCAAATCAATTATCAACTTAAGAATTTAACAGTCAAATTATATATACTATAAATAATTGCATCACATAATATAACTGTAACACCTGTCACCTCCTATCTGGAGTACAGCGTGTCATCCCCGACGCGTCCTCAAATAACAATGTGACACCCGTCTTCCTCTCTCTAGGGACAACGGGCCACCAATAATATCTCGTAAAATAAAAATCCAAAAGCCCAACTACACTCGCCCAAGCCCAAATAAAAATCCGAATAAAAAGTCCAATAGCACCAAGTCCGTCCAAATATCACCTTATTGCTTGTCTCACCTGAAATGTGAAGAAAGAGGGGTGAGCGACTGGGGAGTCACTCAGTGAGGTATGGGATGCTACCCCGAAGTCTGTAGACCCGGACATAGCACTCCAAATAAATATAAATTAATTCTAATGCATGTCAAACACGGTACCTAAAGTACCCAAGCAAACAAGCAATGGTCCTAGCGAGGCGCGCACTCGCCGCCCACTAACGGGCCAAAAACAACACTTCCCACTCTGGGATATAACAACTCGAGATAGTGCTCGGACACCGCCCGTAGACGATTTATCGACACCACCAGGTTACGGCTCAACCGGTCGACTATAGTTGGCCGTAACCTTCCAAACAATCCGGAATACGTTAGCACCACCACGCTGTGTATCCGTCACACACAATTCGGCATACAGAAGCACCACCACGCTCTGTATCCGTCTCACACAATTCTAACTACGAATTTTTACATTAAGTGAAGCAAACAATGTTGAACCATCTGACACCCTATTCCGGTTTATGCAAAGAATTCTAAACCTAAACAAGCAGACACCAATCAGACCCTAAATTAGACTTAATTCACGCAGACGGAACACATTAGAAATAAATTATATTTATTTAAAGTTCTAAATCGCGTACGAATCGTTCGGAAGTAGACCCTCACCTTAGCAACTGGGGAAAAATGGTATCTATGAACTCCAGCTGCTCAAATAGATTCCAAATCTGAAATCAGATCGAAATTCCGAGTCAGATTGACCTTCGAACGGTCGAAAACGGGCGATTACGGAAAAGTCAACCCGCTGGTCAAAGGTCAACCCGGTCAACTCTGACCAAAGCCGGTCAACCCTTGACCAAATTGAAATCGAATTGGACCAACCGGTTTTCCTTAACCGGATTCGATTTCAATTGAACCGGATTCAAATCATTTACAAATCGGTTTACTCCTAACCAAAATTCAATTGATTTTAACCACTGGTTTACCTTAACCAAATCGCAATTCAATTGAACCGGTCCAACCAGTAAAACCAACCGGTTGACCGAGTCAACCGAGTTGACTCGCTGAGTTGACTCGGCCGAGTTGACCGAGTCACCGGCGACGGTCACCGGCGGCGGCGACACGGCGGTCCGGCGGCAGAGCGGCGGCGGCGACACGGCGGTCCAGCGGCGGTCCGGCGGCGGCTCTCCGGCGATGACACGGCGGCGCGTGTGCTTCACGCGCGCGCGGCGGCTCAACTTCGGCGGGCGCGTGACGGCGGCTCCGGTGTCTGATCTCGGCGTTTTTGGTGTCTACGGATTCGTCTCGACGAGTAGAACACGGTGGTAGCCTTGCATTAACGAGATTCTCAACAGTTTGAAAGATATGGTCGATTTACTAAACGGCACAAAACCAACTTAAAACCATGGCGGTTTCCAGCGATCTCCGGTGGTTACGGACGGTGGTGATGAGCTCGATGTGTTCCTGGCGTGCAGTGGTGGCTCTGACGATCTCTGGTGGCTCAGCTACAAAGGTTCCCCATCACTCTCTCTCTCTCTCTCTCTCTCTCTCTTTCTCTCTCTCTCTTTAACTTCTGATTTTATTTTTCTTGCAGGTGGAGAAAACAATGCTGAAGAAATACTTGGCTTTTATGCTCATGCTATTGGGCCTTCAGAAATCTAATGGGCCTGTGGGATAAATATGGGCTTAGCCGGTTAATTATTTCCGAAACCGTAATTTGGGTCGTTACAATAACATTTTACCACAAATATAATAACAATTGCACCACATTATAGTTTTTCTATGGGATTTGAATCATGTAATATTTTCACATATACTTTTACATCACTGTGAAATCGATGGCTTTACTTATTTGAGAAGACTGGACTATTTGGAGCTCGATCAAATATAAGCCATGTATACTTGACTTATCAACTTGTAGATATTTGGCAACAATTAGAATATTAGAAAACATTCGACCACACAGTTCGCAATCTCTATATAACACCACATTCTTGTACTCGTTTCTTAGAGCCCACACAGTATATTAAAAACCATTCTATACTTTTTTCTTTTTTTTTTGTAAAAATCCATTCTATACATTTCCTCTCTAAAAAGATGGCTTCGATCACTTTCTTGATTCTAGCCATTATTTTGAGTTTCAAAACTTTAGGAGCCACTTCTCGTGGGGGACTCTTTGAAGCTTCTGCTGTCACGGAGAAACATGAGCAATGGATGGCTCGTTACCATCGTGTTTACTCCGATGAATCTGAAAAAACAAAAAGGTTTGAGATCTTTAAGAAGAACTTGGAGTTCGTGGAGAAGCACAACATGAATACGAACAATACGTACAAGTTGGGTGTGAATCAGTTCTCTGACCTCACCAACGAGGAATTTCGAGCGAGGTACATGGGGCAAGTGGTGCCTGAAGATATGCTCAGAATTTCATCGTCAAATTCGGACACAAAGGTGTCGTTTCGATATGAAAATGTCAGTGACATTGGTGAGAGCAAGAATTGGGTACAAGAGGGAGCGGTTACATCCGTTAAGAACCAAGGCGGATGTGGTAATTCGGTCTACATCACATTTAAAAAGAATATAGTGTTATATTTATATAAATATATGTTAATATATATAGATATATTAATATATATTTAATTTATGAAAATGGAACAGGAGTTTGCTGGGCTTTCGCAGCGGTGGCAGCCGTTGAAGGCATAAAGAAGATTTCAACAGGAAAGCTTATATCGCTGTCGGAACAGCAGCTGGTTGATTGCAGCAGAACTCCCAATTTGGGATGTAAGGGATGGACAGCGTCGAAGGCTTTCGACTTCATAATCCGCAACAAAGGAATCACATCAGCGGCTAACTATCCTTACCGTGAATCATACCAAACCTGTTCATCAAACAAACCAGTTGCTGCTACCATCAGTGGATACGAGGGGGTTCCAAAAGATGATGAGACAGCACTGCTTAAAGCAGTGTCTAAACAGCCTGTTTCTGTTGCGATAGATGGCTACGCGCCTGAGTTTATCAAATATGGGGGTGGCATATTAAGTGGACCCTGTGGAACGAGTCTGAATCACGCGGTTACCATTGTTGGTTACGGGGTGAGTGAAGAAGGGATTAAGTATTGGTTGTTGAAGAACTCATGGGGACAAGATTGGGGAGAAGGAGGTTACATGAGAATCAAGAGAGACGTGCAAACACCTGGAGGAATGTGTGGTTTGGCCAGTCTTGCTAACTATCCACTTGCATGAATCTTGTTATATAGTGTTGGAATATATCTACATGGGCTTGTACGTCCAGAGTAATGACAACACCCTTATCAATAATCTTATGCATTTATGGTCCCACGTTTTCGTTGTAGTCATTTCTATTTTGGAAGTTATGTTGGTGTAATATTAGATATAAAGTTCTCTTGTGTTAATTATTGGATCTTTTAGCTAAACATATGGAGAAAAAGACGTGTTAACGGAGATAGTACTATTGAGAAAAGTATGTACAAGCATGCCTACACACTGTTTAGTCTTTCTGCAAGTGAAATGTAATTTAATAACTCGCCTAAGCACTTCACATATGTCTCAACATGCAGTTACAAAATGTGACTGGCGCGAAAACTCAAGTTTGCGGTTTTTGCAGAAAAGTTTATTTTTTTTTATGTTTTTGAGGATTTGATAAGAAAATTCTATTTTTGAATCGAACAAATTAAAATTTCAATGTATATTAAATATTGTATAATGATTGTGTGAATCAAAATAAATAGGTTAAAATTTAAGTTGTATACATTTTAAGACTAACTTTTTAGGAGCTGTTTCAAAAATAAGGGTTAAAATAGGAGGATTATAGTGGATTTTCTGTGAAGAACCGTTGATGTTTGAGATGGCGTAATGTGATGGAGGCGCATCATTGACATAGTAACTAGCAAATCTGGCGAATCCACACTCTTGCACAGTAGTTTCGGCCATAAATAGGGTTGGGAGTTCCGTAGATACAACTCTGTGAAGAACCATCGATGCTTGAGACGGGGTAGTGTGATGGAGACGCATCAGTAGCGAGAAGCAATTAAATCTGGCGAATCCATAATCTTGCACAGTAGATACGGTGATGTCGAGAGGCGAAGTGGAAGTGAAGAGGCGGCCGGGAGTGATGGTGGTACACGGAGGGGGGATAGATCCAACGGTGTTGGAGTTGCGCTGTGAGGGTTAACAGGCTATTGGGCCTTGAGAGGGTAAAGAAACGGTGAACATCGAGCAAAGGAGATGCGTCTGTGTAGGACTCCGAGATGATGTAGGCAAGATTATTCACAAAGTCAACCGTACTCAGGAAGAGAAATCAATAAAGGTCAGTTCGCTCCTCCATTACCATGTGCTCTCATTCCAACAAATCGGAGGAACACTCCGAAATTTAGTGCAAGGAGACTCGACCGTTCTAAAACACTTTACCTCATACCCGACGTTTGCTTAAACACACTCAACCAGAACGAGTGTGATGATAATATGCTCAGGTCTATCACGGTTACAAACTATTGACTTCGACACAGTAATATTGAGGTCCGAGGTTTTGATCCGATTAAACTGTTAAGTCTGTCATTCAACTCCATTGTCCTAAGCATCCATATGGAAGCTAAGCTAACTTTTAAGATTCACCTAGTCTTATTGAGAAGCCTTGTTGAGTTCAAAACTGACCATGCCAACTTCAGTGTCAAATCAAGTCAGACATGACTTCTTCTTCTCGGTGTTGCCCAAGGTCTTGGAGCTTCTCACCAATTTTTTTTGACGGGTAACACTCCAACCGTTTCTTATTGGTGTATCAACGTCGATTTTGACTATCAATTGTTCTTGCAAACAACCGCTTTAGGGATTAAGGTGAAATTTCTCCATGGGATTATTTATCTTGCTGAGCTTGCCTCGCCTCTTATAGGCTTTATCTTTCAGTTTTAAACTTTCATGTTCTTTGAACTTTACAATATAAGTTTGGTGTTACAAAAAAAAATAGTGGATTTTCTCACGTTCATCTCTGGAGAATCCAATCCATGGATCTCTGGTATAGAGCTTCATCAACTCACCCCTTATTGCGAAAGCTATCGCGTTGCAATCAGCCCTTTACAAAGCTCTATCCTTGAAGTACTCCACACTCAAGGTTTTTTCTCCGATAGCTAACGTTCATCAGAACTATCTCTGACAATCTACGATCTAGAATAATCCTTGTAATTTTGAAAGAAATCCGAAGGATTTCCTCTGGTTTTGCAATAATTTTCCTTTTTCATGTTACTAGATCGGAAAATTTAATTGCAGATAACTTAGTAAAAAAAATTCAATAAGAATATTTTTACTGAACTTTACGTTATATGATTAGATATCGGCTTTACTAAAACATAAATATTTTCAATTATTAATAAGCATATTTTTTCTGTTTCATTTTTAGTATTTAAAATAATTAGTAAACATACCAATCTACTAACAAAAAAACTTTCATAAAATAAAAATAAGTAATATAAAACCATAATTTTTAACTTAAAACAAAATATTAATTAGTAAAATTTACATTTAAATATGAAAATCATATTAATAAAATAAATTATGTATATATTATTAGTTGTATTATATAATCTATATATAATCATACTACTATATTTTAATTAATCATTTTATTCGGTTGAATCAGTTTATATACCAAAAAATATCTATATACTGCGGTTTTTTTAAAAAATGTTCCTTCATTTATTCTGTATTATCAAATCTAAACTATTTTCTTTATTTCAGTTTGGTTTTAGTTGGTTTAGTTTTAACAGATTGATTATCCCTTGAATATTATGTACATATAAAAGTTTAATAAACATCCGCACAGGTGGGCAAGGCAAAATCTAATTGTAAATTTTAGTTTATAACAAAAAAAAACGACTATGAAAAATACTCTGTTTATAGACATCGTAAACTCAAATGCAGTGTTTTTAAACCCGACCCGGACACTGAACCGGACGACTTACCGGGTCATTGGATCACTGGGTCGACCGCGGATGAACCACAGGTTAATAAATAAAATTTTATTATATAATAATATATTAGCTAAGAAAATAAAAATATAAAAACTAAAGTTAAATATTTTCTAAATGTTTTAAAGCATAAAATGTATAAATATACAAGATATCAAAACTAGTTTATACTATTTAATTTTTTTTTCTAATAAGTTAAGAGTAATGACATCTAAAAAATTAAGATATAAATTTCATAAATATTAAAGTGTCTAATGAGAATAATAAATTAAACTTCAAATACAATATAAACCAAAAGTAAAACATCATTGTAAAAAATTATCAATAACAGAAATAAACTAACACCAAATTACATCAACTAATTTTGGTTCTCGCTACCACCCTTTAGTTCATTTTCTTCAGGTGGTATAGTAAAATCTTCATCAAAATTTAAAAATCACACATAAAGTTGTGTAGTAGGTATTATGTATTATAAAAAGTTAGAAAGTTTAATCAAATTTTAAAGAAGAAGACGGCAATGTCAATAACTAAAACGTGAAAACGTAACTTTTAAATTAGAATTGAGAATTTAAAATGGAATAAAAATATAATTTTAAATTAAAAAAAAAAGTAAAAGTTTATTTATTGGTTTAACCAGTGGTTCAACCGGCATCGGGTTTTGGGTTTTAGTGGGTTTTTCCGGGTTTTTGAGGGTTTTTAAATTTTGGGTTTTTAACAAAACCTGAACCGGATTTATTTTGGGTCACCAGATTTATTGGTTCAACCGCGGGTCCGGGTCGGGTTTCAAAACACTGCTCAAATGTAAGGACTGGATTTGGCAAACAGACTGGATTTTTCATTCGGATTTCCAAGCATGATTTCCGCAGAATCTTAACGAACTTTCGGAGTCTTGCAAACGTTGAGACGACTTGGACAGTTTATTTCCACCCATCTATGTCTAAATTTTGTGGTTCGAGGAAGACAGCATTGGAGTAGACAATTCACATTCAATAGTCTTGGCTAAATAGGTTCTATTCAGAGACACCATCATGTCATTTATTCGAAACTCATGTATATATTATGTCAATAAGATGTGTGAAAGGAAGAAATTGCGACAATCTTTAACTTTTGTTTCACGTCATATTAGAAAATAATATTGTGGAAAGAACGCACTATATCATATGGTTCTCGGTCTAAACTACATCTTTTCTAATTACGACACACTAATTAGATGGTTCCCCGACCCTTCCTATCTATTTTCTTATCTACTTTTGACGTCATATTTTACGGCATTTTCCTTAATAATATTATGTACACCTACTTTAAGAGCTTGAAAGGATGTTTGTTTTCACTTTTTATAAGTAAACTAGTTCCGCTGTCCGCGCTACGCGCGGAAAATTTGGATGTTTAATATTTTTAAAATGATAAGTTGTTGCAACTTGTTTTTTGGCTCGTTTTTGCTATTTTTGGGAATAATTTCTTAGAATGGAGGTTTTTGATGTCTAATAGTATTTAAGTTTAAAATAGTTGTGAAATATAATTTATTTGTTATGTTTAAATATCTGATGTTTTAAATAATGCAATTAAATTTTATGTTTGTGAGTCCAAAGGTTAAAAATTAGTCAAACATTCATTATATCCAAAAAGGTAAGTATGGGCATAAGTTAGTTCTATTATAGATTTTTAATATTTCTCTTTAACGTAGTATATTCTGGTTATTATTAGTATAAGCATATATCTTTTGATTTAAAGTTATTATTATTGATATGTTGGTTTGATTAAGAAAATCAAATACAATGATAGCCCTAAACCCTTCTCTTGATCCGAAACTGCTCCGAGTATCCCAAAATACCGACACATCTTAAAAAAAACAATCACCAAATTCCAAATTCCTTTTTTCCCTTTAAAAATATATTTATAATCTTAGCCACTATGTATTGGAGTCCTATTGTGACACTACTTTTTATTAAGATCTGACTATTAGATACACATAAAATTTTAGATTAAGATGTGTTAACCTCCAGTATCCATGGATTTGGTTGGAATTGGTTTGCTAATTCTGTTGAAGTGGCGTTTCTGTGGAAAAACAATATAAGTTAAAATGATAGAATTAGCTACACCTTGCAAAAGGGGGAAAAAATTGAAACTGTAATAATATGATTAAAAAACTACACTTACACCTGCCAGAGAGGTTTCAACGTGTTTGTGTAGTATGGCTACGGAATCTCTCGTCCTTCACCACAAGCAATACATGTTTTCGTCTGCTGTGTTTGTAGCAAGAGAATTGTAGGAAGAGAAAATGGTATTTAGAAAAGAATAGAGGGGATTTTATTACAGCAAATGTTTAGAAATGGTAATTAAATATTGACCATTAATATTTACCAAATATGATATGTTTGGTATCGGAAATGACGTTGTATTTATTGTTTTGGCCAAACGATTTCTACTTTCCTTCTCTGTTATACACCATTTATAATATGGCTTTTGCTGAAACCATTGTGAACCAAAGTCTATAGATAAATTGTCTGTTTTGATAGCATTTAGGACCTGTAATTCAAACTGAAACCAAATAGCACAATGAAAATTGTTAACCAAAGTCATTACGTAAACTTAGAAACCAACTCATGTTTGTAAAGCAAAATAAAGAAAAACCAGAGTCTCGATAGAAACATTAAAAAAAAAAACAAAAGCAAGCAGCAGTGAGAGTAGTTCAATTAGCCACGCTTGACCTCCTCTAACGCTTCACCACCACAACTATCTTCAATCATCTCATTTGCAGCATCTTCAATAGGGTGTTGTGGCTGTTCTGGTGGAAGCACCTTAGTCACAGTGATGGATTGAATCTTTCCAGTTAGGTTATGATCTGAAACCTTCACTATAAACCTTCGTGTCTGACCTATTGTTTCCAATAGCGCTTGTGGCACCGGCACAACACCATCAACTCCCTCACTCTCATTAGTCTAAATGAAAACATGCATTCATGTGTTAGTATAAATAATTGTAGCAGAATGATCGTATAGTTAAGAGTATACCTCAAAATAATTTGCAACCAACGCTGATGCATGTTTGCCAGTTAGGTCACGGCCAGCCTCCCCAAGTATGACAAACACAGCCTGTTCACTATTGTCATATACTGATACTTTGGCGATGTACCTGGAATGGAGGAAGATTAGTAATTAACCATTGCTGGCATTAAAAGGTTGAAACAACTTAACAATACTTACTCTGGAACGCCTGTGACTTCAGTTTTGTCACACTTCTTATTAGTACATATCAGAGATTTTGCCCCCTTCATTGCTTTTGAATGACATCCCCCACAGGAGATGTAATACCATGCTGACCCACGGAGCACATCATCAATGGTTGCAGTGCACTCAAACCAAGCAACCTACAAAATTGTGAAAATTAAGTCCATAGGAACAAAAGTAATCGGTAATGTATTTGAAAGAATCAGAAATCATATACCTTAGCAGCTTCCTGTTTTATGTAAGCGAACAACTCACTTATGGTCACAGTCTCAGGCTTGGTCACAATCTCGGCATTGACCTTGTTAGCAATGTCCAAGTTTGAGCTCAACCTGAGAAGAATAAAAGATCCATTCCTAAATCACAGGTAGAAATAAATTACAAAGTAAGGCGCATTGGAAAACATACCACTCTAGGTACTCTCTGGTCGCGTGAACATCAGTGTCCATGAACACTCTTGAAGAGGACATGGAAGTGAGAGCAAGGGTACCTGCTCATGATGCATAATTTGGGTATTTGAAAATAATGATATTAAAGTACTAATACATATGGATTAACACGGATTAATGTTAATCACATCTAATAGTAATAAAAAAATTAGTAACTAATATTAGTATTTCTTCTACTAACCTATCTAATAGTAATAAAAAAATTAGTAACTAATATGAGTATTTCTTCTACTAACCTATCTAATAGTAATAAAAAAATTAGTAACTAATATGAGTATTTCTTCTACTAACCTCCGAGACGCTTTGGATTCACTGTGGTCACCAGAAGAACACTCAGAGAACTTCCATTCGCCTTGAATTTCTGGCAGAACTCTTCTGCAGCCTTGTCCCATAGATACATCTTCATCACTGGGCCGCTGTGTCAAATTGAAAAAATAAAAAACATGTCAGCGACAACTTTGGGAAACGTCGTAAGCATTAAATAGACTTACTCATGTGTCTGAACATGGACCAAAACATGCCTCTTCGATGCAATATCGGCTTTATCAAGTCTGGGACAGTCCTCTATTGACTTATCTTGGACCAACTTCATGTGACCAACATAGTCTGAAACAATAACAAAAAGTTGTAAAATAGAAAACCATAATAAAAAGACCAGTAGTATACCAAGCTTACCATAAAGGTCTCCTTTCATGTCGCAGTTAGCTTCAAACTCAATTTGACTATGGAATCGGAACCTATCTTCAGGGATTGGAACCGGCTCATGCTTAAGAAGTGTTAGCACTGAGTTCCATGAGAACGTCACAGTGACGTTATGATCAGCTACACGGAATTTCTCTTTGTTAGTGGATCCGAAAAAATTCCTAAGCTTATAAACACAACCGGCTTTCAAGTGAGGCAGATGAACATCAACACGCCCTGCTGGAATAAAGCCTTGAATCGCAGTTCCCTGATAAGCATATAAAAGTTAGTGTCAAGCAAAAGAATCCATAAAAAAAACATAACCATATAAAAGATTACATTGTATGAGGAATCAGCAAGTAAAACAATTCACACGTTATCAAATTTCCAGATTAGACAAACTCCTTATCTCATTTATAAAAAGAGAGTCTTTATTATTAAAACCATTTAAGAAAAATGATGTACAAACGAAAGATTTCAGAACAGTAGCTATAATACATATCTAAACAAATTCAAAACAATAAAAAACCGTGTGAAATAATCTACTATTCTAAACCAATACCAAGTGATGATTGAAACATCTTATTCGAGGTAAGTAGTCACAGCTATCACAATTCTTAAGAACAACTAAAACGAAAAGATCAATGTGTTAATGTCAGGAAAACCTAAAACTTTCATCATACCAAAACTCATCAATCATCTAAGAATTAAACGTCTTTCTAGTTAAGTAAACACAGCTATCACAACTAAAACCAAACGATCAATGTGTTAATGACAGAAAAACCTAAAACTTTCATCTTACCCAAAACTCATCAATCATCAAAGAATTAAAATCATGATTGAGTAAAAGTTAAAGGTCTACCTTCTCATCGATGAGGAGCATCTCCTCTCCAATCAATGTTTTCGTATGCGGGTTTCGAGCCTCCCAAAAATGGATGAGACGAAACCGCAACTCAGCTTCGTGTGGCCCATGTGTAACGTCGGCAAAGAACATCATCTCCGCACCACTCTCATCAGAAACAACACCCTTTCCGTGGCGTTTGTTTGAAAGCGGAGAGGTCACAGAACCTTGACCGATCGATTTCACCACCGGTTTGGAGGAGTCATCGTGTTTGGGATCTGAACGGCGACCGATGACGGAGGAGAGATCGATGTTCATGATTGTCTTGCGGTCTCTGGAATCGGGACAGTGACGTTTGGATTCACCAGGAGTGGATGAGCCACCGGTCTCCAAGATTTGCTTCTGATCGACGGCGGTGGAGCGGTCGTCTCTTTTTTTAGACATGCAGTCGCCGGAGCTTGGAGTTTGTGCGTTGGATGCCATCGGGTACTTCTTTTGAGGAAAGTTTTGGATATTTGGACTGAGAAAACGTGAAATCTCAATTTATAATGTATGAGATGCAGAGGGAGATGAGTAGAAGCCATTGAGTGTGAGAAATAAAGCATTGATGGTACGCATTCATGGAGGAGTTGATTTGTAAACGGAGAAGGCATAGAGAAAGTAACGTGAATCGTCTGAGAATGAGAGAAGAGAGGAGGCAACGAAGAAAAAACCCTAAAACAATTTTTGGATTTGGTGGGTATCCTTTCAGTTATTGGGCTGCTAAAATAATAAGGTGCAAGCCCAAATGTAATGAGTCCATCCAAGAGAAACATTGCCAAGTTGGCGCTGAGATGGCAGAATAGGGATACACTATTGGCTAATTAAATTTGAGGACGTGGATAGCCTTAGGGACTGAGATATGCTGCTTTTAATTATAGTAGATATTATTTTCATAACTAATGATATATATTTTAACATTTATCATATAATTAATTGTATATTATTATATTTACAAAACAAAATATAGTAGGAATAATTAAATTTATTGTTATTTGTATCGCATCTTTCTTGTAACATGCTTACTTATTAGTTTTGATCTGGAGTTCTAGTTTAAGGAATATATTACATTTTTAAATATTATTTGTAACAGTAACTTATATATTAATAAACTTGGTACATGCATGTATAACTAAATAAATTCTTAGAAATTAATTATGTAAAATTTTTATTTTATTTTATTTTTTAATACTTAAAATAATCATGTACACTAATAAATTAAATTTTAATAAGATTATTTATTTTGGTTTATAATTTGAGTATGATAAAAAATCGAAAAACATAATAAACATTTTGGGCTTAAATAAATATGTAAACTCACTCCAGAACTCTTGGTTTAGATAGATTTATATAACTATCTACATATTGGGATATTTTGTAAACATTATGTTGAGAAATATTATGATATTTCTTTCATGTTTTTAAATATTCTTTACATACAAACAAATTTGATGTTTGTACAACAAATTCTGTTATGATTTTTATATTTTGTTTATATATTATTTTGAATATAAATATATATATATATATGTATATATATATATATATATATATATATTATTCAATTTTGAAAACGATGCCAAGAGATATATTTTTTAGATCCATTTTATATCATTCAAATATTTCTTTATAATATATTTTTAAATATGATAAATGTTGATAGATAGTTTTAAGAAAATATTGTTAAGTATGTCAAAAATACTATTTTAAAATGTTTATAGATAGTTGGTATTTATGTATTCTGGTATTATGCATAGTTTAGACAATATGTTTTACCTAAGATGAAGAATGGTATTATAGATAGTCTTTTTCACAAATCGTTTTATTTCCCAATATATTTAACAATATGTTATATCATTAATTAGTTAGAAAAGATTATGGTATGTTATATGCTTGTTTTAAATGATGAGGAAATAATCAATGTTGAAATCTAGAAATATTTAAAATCTTAGTCACAAAATCTGTAATTTGTAGCTTGAAAAAATGTTATTTTCTTTTTCTATTTCATTTTTAATAAGATATATATATTCTTTGTATAGAAAAAAAATTGATGTTTGTACAACGATTTATTTAAAGATTTATACGTTTTGTTTATATATTATTTGAATATACCTGATACATATTATTTAGTTTTGAAAAAGATACCAGGTTATTTTTAGATCCATTTTATATCATTCAAACATTTCTCTGTAATCTATTTTTTTAGTACATTAAACTAGATCTTGACCCGCACAACCGTGCGGATTTTTTATCTATTGATAATTTATAAAAATTATCAATAAAATAATAATATATTTATTTATTAAATTTTGCAAAATACTAAAGTAATAGATGTTAAAGTATCATTTTTAAACACAACACGGAAATATAAATTATCATTAACATATATTTATCTATAGTATATCAGATATCTAAATAAATGTTAAAATTTATTGTATGCAAATTGTAGAAACTAAAACTTTATATTAAAAAGATTATATATTTGATTATTTCAGATTATAATTTATGTATCAAATTCCAAAATATATAAATAAGTAATAACAATCAATAAGAATATAAATTAAAATATTTAAAACAAAATACTATATATTAATAATGAAGAATAAGAAACTTAAACAAAAAAATTATAAACTTATATAATATATATAGTTAAATTTAAATCATATATTAAAATTTTTACAATACTATAAAAGTTTTATATTACATAATGAAAAATCTGTGTGAGTCAAACTCCAGTATACAATTTTCTATTTATTTTTTAGGAATATATAGTACTATCTAGATAAATTTTAATTTTTTAAACAAAATTTTTTGTATTTAAATTAAAATATAAAGATATAGGGTGATATTATAATTAAGTTATGTAAAATTTGATAGCTTTATAAAGAACGGTCCAAGTAAAACAATTATACATGAAATAACACATGACTTCGTTTTAATAGTATAGATAGATAAATATATAATATATTATTTTGTATATTTGAAATAGAATTTTATTTTTTTCTAACATAATCTATTTAAATTTTGTAAATAAATGTTTTCGAAACTCCATTAATTTATATTGTAATTCTCATTAAAATATAAGTAAAAGTATTCTAGATAATTATCAATTTTCATTTATAAATAAAATAATATTTTTAATGATATTTTATGATAATTAGAATTTAAATTCAATGATTTAAGGAAATACAATTTAAAAAGATGCCAAAAAGATTTTGTTGGATTTATTTCATTTCTATTTTAAATATAAAGATAAAGATACTTAAAGATATTATCATTAGATTTGTAACATTTGATAATCTCTCTAAGGAATAGTCCATTTTTAAAAAAATCACACATGAATCAAGATTGTGACTTCTGTTTTAATATAATAGATGTTGATAGATAGTTTTAGGAAATATCGCAAAGAATATCAAATACTATTTTAAATGTTTATAGATAGTTGTTTTTTTTTTGTATTTTGGTATTATTCATAGTTTAGACAATATGTTTTATCTAAGATGAAGAATGGCATTTATAGATAGTTTCTCACAAGTCGTTTTATATACCAATATATTTGAAAATATGTTTTATCATTAATTAGTTATAAAAAAAAAATTAAGGTATGTTATATGCTTGTTTTAAATGATAAATTAAAATTAATGATAAAATCTAGGAACAGTTAGAATCTTAGTGGCAAAATTTGTAATTTCTAACTTGAAGAAATGTTTTTTTTTATACTTCATAATAAGATAGATATTTCCTTAAATGTTATCTTTAAAGTTAATATAATAGTTTATTACAATACAATTATATAATTTATTTTATTTTCTGTATTGAATCATTTTAGAAATGATATTGTGAAAGAAAGTACTCCAAGGAGTTTCCAAGATTTCTAATCTTAAATCATTTAAAAATGAACATTTGTAAAACAGATATTTCAAAATTTTCTCCAAAGAATTCATATGAAAACCGATTATGTCTTGTCTTTTGTTTTCTTTTATTACTAATCATACCATAATTTTCGAAGTTTCTACGGAGACTATAGTTAATATTTTTAGGTTTGAATTGGAAATCAAGTGACACGTAATGCGTTGCTTACTTGTATCGTAGGAGTGAATGTCACTATTGAAATTCAAACTGACATAATGCATATTACTGAAAAAACAAAGTTACAAAATTAAGAAAAAAAAATACAAAAAAAAAAAATATGAAAACCCTTTAACAAAAAAAAAAAAAAAAAAAAAAAAAAAAAAAAAAAAAAAAAAAAAAAAAAAAAAAAAAAAGAAAAAAAAATACAAAATAAAACATGAAATCCATAGGACGACACAACACATGATCTTTTTGGGGGGTTAAACTATCAATTCATATTACTTAAGAAGTACTTGTTCTCAAAACCGGAGTGAAAACTTGTAAGCGAAAGTACTGATTTGGCTACATAATCAACAATAAAGTTACTTTTAAATGACTATTCAAAGAAAATAATATGTAATGGATTCCTCTAAAATATGTGAAAGATATCGTACAAACTGATGTTTAGCTCTGATCTACTCGCTTTAGTTCGTAGTAAATTGGTGAAGATTTGGGAGCTCGCCAACATAGTAAACATGACATTTACTGCAGCAGCGACTATAACATCATTACGGACTTGTATGAGTTCTGTTGGGAAAAAAAAAACTAAGACTGTTAAAGCTTCAGCAATGAGAGCAAAATAGACAAATTGCTTTACTTCGGATAAACAAGGAAGACCACTGCCATCTGGGCCTTTAAAAAGTTCACGTGGGACACAAGCACTAGAGATGGGCTCCCAAACGGCATCCATATTGCATGTGATGTATGCCATTATAAAAGTTTAGTTATTTAAAAAAAAATTACATCTGTATAAGAACATAAGAGAATCACCTAATAAGATTATTACTTAAGTTTGAGAATAGTAATGTGACTCTATATTATTAAAACAATAGTTTAAAAGCAATTTGAACAAAAAAAAATGAAAATTGGGTAATATCCTTAAGTTTATAAGTTTTTTGTTGCTTTTAAAAACATTGTTTCATATTTATCAGTCAACTCGATTTTACATTTTTATGTTTTTTTATAACTTATTTAAACCCTATTTTAAAATAATAAGTATATTTTTTGGAATTGTTTTTTTTTTTAAATAGTTATAGAATTGCATTAGTTTATATGGTATATTTTAAACCTTGTTTCAGGAGGAAAATGCAACATCGCATTTTTTATTTTGGTAAAAAGTTAAGATATTATGTTTTTTTTTGGCGATGAATCGCAGAATTATGACAGATAACCGATAGAATAATAGTTCATTTATTATATTTGTAGATTTTAATTCATTTATTAACAATATATATATATATATATAATTAACATGTATAATTTCACAAATTTTTCATTTCATTGTCTGATCGCTAGCTTTACGATTTGATAGGACTATTTATAAAAGTCATCACACGGCAAGAAGAACGTTTCCAGTTTGGGGCCCAACCTTGTTATCATAATTCATGAGCTTAATCTAATTTGTTTGGCATGTATACTTGACTTATTAACGTGTAGAAATTGGCAACGTAACCTAAAAACCTCGTTAGAATATTCAAAAAGAAACAAGTGACCACACGATTCGAAATCCCTATATAAGACCACCTTCTTATACTCGTTTCTTGGAACCCAAACAAGTATATTAAATAAACAATTTAGACATTTTCTCTCTAAAAAGAATGGCTTCGATCACTTTATTGATTCTAGCCATTATTTTGAGTTTCAGAACTTCGGGAGCCACTTCTCGTGGAGGCCTCTTTGAAGCTTCTGCTGTTACGGAGAAACATGAACAATGGATGGCTAGATTCCATCGTGTTTACTCCGAAGAATCTGAAAAAACAAATAGGTTTGAGATCTTTAAGAAGAACTTGGAGTTCGTAGAGAGGCACAACATGAATACGAACATAACGTACAAGTTGGATGTCAATCAATTCTCTGACCTTACCGAGGAGGAATTTCGGGCAAGGTACACGGGGGTAGTGGTTCCTGAAGGTGTGACCAGAATTTCATCGCCTGATTCCGACAAAAAAGTGTCCTTCAGACATGAAAATGTCAGCGAGACTGGTGAGAGCATGGATTGGAGACAGGAGGGTGCAGTTACATCCGTTAAGAACCAAGGCCAATGTGGTAACTAGACGCAAAGTTTTAGCTACAAACCATTTATTATGATTTATATAATTCGGTCTATATATATATATCACCTTTAAAAACTATATGTTAATACATATTTTACAAAAAAAAAAGAAACCTATATGTTAATACATGTATATAATATATGAAAATGGAACAGGAGTGTGTTGGGCATTCTCGGCGGTGGCAGCCGTAGAAGGCATAACGAAGATTGAGAAAGGAGAGCTTATATCGCTGTCGGAGCAGCAGCTGGTTGATTGCGGCAGAGACATCAATTACGGATGTAAGGGATGGATAATGTCGGAGGCTTTCCAGTACATAATCAACAACCAAGGAATCACATCAGAGGATAACTATCCCTACCTGGCATCACAACAAACATGTTCATCAACCGATCCAGTTGCTGCTACCATCAGTTCATACGAGACGGTTCCAAGTAATGACGAGGAAGAATTGCTTAAAGCAGTTTCTCAACAGCCTGTTTCTGTGACGATAGATGGCGCAGGGCTTGAGTTTCAGCAGTATAAGAGTGGCATATTTGACGGAGACTGTGGGACGGATCCGAATCATGCGGTTGCAATTATTGGTTACGGGGTGAGTGAAGAAGGGATTAACTATTGGTTGTTGAAGAACTCATGGGGAGAAACTTGGGGAGAAAATGGTTACATGAGAATTATGAGAGGCGTGGATGCACCTGAAGGAAAGTGTGGTTTAGCCCGTTATGCTTACTATCCACTTGCATGAATCTTGTTATGTTGTTCGAACGTATTTACATGGGTTTGTTCAGAGTAATTGACAACACCCTTATCAATAATCTTATGCATATCTGGTCCCACGTTTTTCGTTGTAGTCATATCTATTTTGGAAGTTATGTTGGTGTAAGCATGTATCATGATTGGTCTTATAATATATACAAAGTTTTTGAGTATTAGATCTTATAGCCAAACATGTGGAGAAGAAAACATGTTAATGGAGATAGAATTATTAAGAAAATTAAATATATATATATACAAGCATGATACACAATGTTTAATAATTGCGATGTTTAACACTGGAAATGAACCTTGGCCATTTCATAGGTCCACAATTTGAGTGATTGATTGGATGAAACTAATATCACATGTTATCGTTTTGGGTCTGGAGGATTTTGGGTTTCGGATCCAAATTTTCTGATATTCAAAAAAAAAGAGTTCTGCAAGTGAATAGTAAGTTAATAAGAGCACCCCATCAAAGGTTCATAGGGGGATTCACCCGTTTTCCCAAAAAAAAAATTAAAATAATGAATAGTATTGAACATGTTTTTTGCAAGTTCTTCGCAGTGAACCCAGTTCATCACTGTAGCGTGGGTCCCGGTAAAAGTAAACGAAAATAAAATAAATTTTTTCTTGAAAAAGCCACGTGACAAATCCATCCCAGTTTGCTAATGAAGATGCCCTAAAGGCTAAGGCTAAGGCTAGTTAACGAATACATAAATGTCTTGTCAATAAGAAAACACGCCTTTGTTCATTTAAAATCATGAAGACACGTAAAAATACATCGAAGTTGAGGTTGAACTTTAAACTCCGATGAGATCAACGATTTACGCCCCCAACATATTATCAAATGCTGATTCGAGCTTAGAAAGACTATTAGCTTTCTAGTCACAAAAAGCATCGAAATTTCTTCGTGAGGATCCCTTTACATAAGACACTGAGACACACTCTCGTCTCGTAGTTAGTAACCTTTGAGTCTATGTTTGTTGGTAGAAAAGTACCACAAGCCTATGTATTGCTTGATGCATGTGTTCCTATAATGTTACTAGGTATATATCCTTATGGACTGGTCATACGAACCTAACGGGAAAACTATTTGGCAGTGATGATTCATCAAAATTATAGAAGAGGATGCCTCTAAATTTTGCATTATAATCTTATATTTTATCAAATTTAGCATCTCTTAAAATATTAATTATATGGTTTTATGATAAAATCCCTCAATTTTTTTGAATCAGAAGAAGACTTTTCAGTTAATGTTTTAACCCCTTAATTTACGAACTGTTAATGTCTATGACCCTCTATTTACTATTTTGTGAAAGAAGGTGACAAACGACGTTAACAATTTGTAAGTTAAACTGTTAAAGGGACATTACAAAAATAATTGAGGAGATTTTTTCGAATTAGGAGGGTGTTATTACTAATCATTTTCAGAGGAGTTGGATTAAGAAAAGAATAAAAGAATGTATTTTTCTTTAAATAACAAATGTTTCTTGTTAACGAAGAAATAACCTTGACTTAGACTAAGTTATTATAAACTGACCATGGGACGATGATGGTCTAAGTAAAGAAAGAACGGGACTGCAAAGTCAATAAAAGAAAGTTTGGATACAGTCAATGAAGGTTCTAGGTAAGGAAAGTTTAACTACGAAAATAGTATAATGTTGAGTCTACGGAACGGATTGTAAATGATGAGTTAGGCCATTGAATTGTAAACAGAGGGTGACATACGTTATTGGAGGCTTTATAGAAAAAATCCTAAATTTTAACATCTATACTTTAAAACTAAATCTCGTTTTCGTAATTTTAACAATGGAACACAACTAACCAAAAATGTATCCTCCTTCAACTTTTTTCAAAGAAAACATACGATGCTGCAAAAAATATTATTATAATTCCACCTACGTCTCATCCTCCAGTTATCAAGACCTACGGAGTAACTAAAAGGGAATTGATCAATACACTTTACAATGACCCAAAAATAGTTCGATTATCCATAATTTTGGGAGTAGCAAAATCAAATATGGATGTAAGAAGCGTTGATTATTTACCTTTTCGTAAAAAAAAATTCAGATCACAAGCTAGAGGATAATTATATGAAGGAACGCGTCTTAGACCATGTTTATTGCATGTCCTTTAAGTTGGGTCCTTTAGCGTACGGTCCTGAACGTGTACACGCGTTCCTTCATATAAGTACTACCCAATTAAGTAAGTCGGGTTCTCTAACTTTTCCAGGAGAGAACGTTTGACTATGCACATCGAATTTAACCAAAATCACATTAAAATTGAACAGAACAAATATAATAATTAATAATATTTTCAATTACTAACATGAAATGTGAACCCTAGAAGATGCGTTATTCACGGCCAGACTCCGCAAAAGAGTTTGTGGATTGCGCCAACCAATCCAAATTATTGTAGAATTATTCTCAAATGAGAACATATACGTATATATGGGCCATTTACTTGACTTCTTTAACGTGTAGAAAAATGGAACCTAGAAGCTAATCAAAAACATTTTTTATTCCTAAAGTGTAGAATATTCAAACAAAAAGCATGCCACTACGTATAAGCACCTCACTTTACATGAACTCTATATAAGACCACTTCACATAGTTGCTTGGCATCCAAGTCATATAAGCCAAATCACTTTTACAAAAACATTCCATACTTTTTCTATTAAAAAGAATGACTGACTTCCATAGTTTTCTTGATTCTAATCCTTGTGTCCAGTTCCAGAACTTCAGGACTACATCTCGTGGAGGACTCTCTGAAGCTTCTGCACTGCACAGAGAGAGACATGAGCAATGGATGTCTCGGTTCGATCATGTTTACTCCGATAATTCTGAAAAAACTAGTAGATTCAAGATCTTTAAGAAGAACTTGGAGTTCGTCCAGAGTTTTAACAGTTCTTTAAGAAGAAGAACACAACCTACTCATTGGATGTCAACCAGTTCTCTGACCTCACTGATGATCGAGGATTTCCGTGCAATGTACATGGGATTAGTGGCTGAATTTTGTGTGTGAAGCAAGGAGGTTGAAGTTGAGGTTGAACTTAATTTGGAGTCCTATTACCATCCAGTTTACGTCCCAATATTTAAGAATGTGGTCCAGAACTTTTAGTTATGAAAGCAAAAGAGAAAACGAAAACATCGAATTTTATTCGTGAGGATCCATTCACATAAGACTTGAACGATGGTACTCCTAAAGTAACCATTCCACCAACATGTTCTCTTACAAGGTTTGGAAAATGGACCAGCTGCTTGCAGTCTGATTCAAAATATATAGACCGTTACAAACCATCGCTTGTTCAATGTTTTGATTAGCTAATTAGCCCTAATCCAAACTACCCCCAGACAAAATAAGAAAAGAGAATCCAATTGCAATCATAACAACCATGTTTCAACAGAAGAGCGATTATAATTATGAACATGAATATAACTGCAATATTTCAGAAGGATAAAAATTGTAAGAAAGATATTTCAAAAAAGTAAAACAAACTTGTAAGAAAACCCAGCAATCCAAGCAAAGGTTTAACATTGATTGTACTACAAGAAATGCACCGTTTGTAGTGACAGAGGATGTCACTAGTGAAAAGTAGATCACGTAAGTTTCAATGTTATTTTCGTAATCTATAGTTCAGCGTTATACGACGTATTACTACTAATTTAGTAATGCACACAACCTCTAATCAAGATTTAATGCTTTATCACCGAAAAATAATATGTAGAAGAAAATACAATCATAAACTACAACTGAATTTTGTCGTGTTCATGTATATAATGGAAAAATCTATGTACGTAGTGTTCTATAACAAAAAAAAATGAAATTTATTTGTGTGTGCAAGAGAATAATGAACGGTGTGTGCAAGAGAAAAATGTAGTAATGTACATTTCATTTCGTTTGGCATTACATGTTCGTACTATAAACGAAGAGTGTATTTTTATTTAACATTCTGACTTCATCTAACGAATCAGCTATATATTTTGGCAGCATTGTGATTGGCCATATATAAAAGGAATATATATATATGTTGTTATATATATTACAGACTCTTATTCTCTTATTTTAATTATTTATTAATTAGATATTGATTGTACTTGTCTATAAAATTATTGTTTTTAATTTACTTAATCAAATTTATTAAAGCACTATTTGTAGGTGTTTAGACATTCAGAAATCATTGGTCTGTTGTTATTTTTTCCCTTGTTTTTATACATATAATTTAATAAATATTTTTCATTTATTATACATAAATTACTTGTCTTAAAAAGCATAAGATCTTAACCAAAAGTATTTAGTAGAAAATCTGCATAATAAGGTTAGGAGAAAACAATGCACTAAAAATAGGTGCATGCACATGAAGTTGGTGTAAAATATAGATTTTGCAACACATTTCCTTTACCATCAGGTAACACATGTATCTATATTTATAGAAGCATGGGTTGTTTTCCAAACAACAATAAAACTATTATCGCAAAAAGGGTTTTAAAGATGAAGTTGGTGGTTCTCATGTCGTTCTTGCTCCTGCTTATAGTGTGTTCTTCAGGTAATTAGATTTGTACATAGAGAATGTTTTTAAACATCTATTTAAAAGAATGTTTACAGTTGAATCGCATATCAAAGGCGAAAAAACTGTTATTTGAATTTTGCAAAAGCTCTGTAAATTGTTTTAATTACATTTTTAATACCAAGATCTAGTCTGATCTGCTGATTTATCATAAAAAGGATTGTGTCTGATTGTTACGGATTCTACAGTCAAAATATAATATTATGCATGGTTTATCCATGATCATGATATAAATACAATACAAAATTATAAATATAACCACAGTTTGGTTATCTCTTTTAAAGATCAGCCAATAAAGCAGCAGACATACTTCCAAAACCCACAATACCGAGAGCAAAACTTTTCTTTTTGTAATATGATATATTGTCAAACGATTACTTTGATTATCAATAAATAACATATTTTTAAGGGAAAAAAATATAAATATAAAGTTACAGACAGTATACGTTTCAGGATTTGTGGAAGATGGAGTAATTCACACCGACCAATATTCCTTAAACAGGGTAAGCAATCTCGTAACATAAAATGCTTGTTTTTAACAGATTTTAACTTCTTCCATATTACAACTGATTATTAATAATTGTTGATAGTCAGTTTATTAT